TACCGCAGCTGCCATTGAAGATATGTGGAGGGCGCATCACCAACTGCGGGAGCCCCTGCCTCCTCAACAGTTTAAGGCGTCCAGTACTGCCTCGGCCAGAGTAGTTGAATTTCGGGAGGCACACAAGAGGGTTCGTAGTCTTGGCAAGGCTGTTAGGCGTAAGTGGTTGGAGGACCAGATCGACAAAGCCGACCGGGCGGCCAGGCATCATGATCAGGCCGAGGTGTACCGCATAGTCAACACCCTGGCACCACGACAGGGTGGCACGACGGTGTACATCAAATCTCCTGACGGACACTTGCTTAGTGGCGCGGACCAGTTTAAGGCTATCTACGACTACTACAGCAAGGCTTTTAGTCGGGAAGAGGAGTTCCACTGTCCTAGCAATTGTGATCCAGTCTTGTACAGTGACCAGGCTGTTCTGTCTGCCATCGACAGGCTTAAGTTGGGCAAGGCTGTACCTGCCACGAGTGTACCAGCGGAGATTTGGCGTCTCTGCCCGGAGGCCTTGATCCCCAGATTTCAGCACGCACTAGCAACGGGACAACAGGCCGGTCAGCGACTACCCACCCCCATGACTGACTGTAAGTTAGCCCTTCTCCCGAAACCCAATAAGGCTGGCAGGCAACCCCAAGACCTTCGTCCCATAGGCCTTCAGGACCCTAGTTCCAAGATACTTGCCACCCTAATCCGGGATCAGGTTGTCGAGCAGGCGTCGGAGAAACTCCGACAAACCCCGCAGTTTGCATACCAAGCACAGAAGTCCATCGAGGAAGCGGTAGCGCGTGTCGCTATGCATTGCAGACGGGTCCGACTCTCGCTGAAGTCTGCAGTTGTCAGTGTGGAGCAGAAACGCGCTGGACGCAGTGCGGCCACGTGCGTGGGAGGCGCTATGCTTAGTTTGGACCTCAGTAGAGCCTTCGACACCCTCACCAGACCCATTCTTCAAAAGGCCTTGGAGTTTGTAGGCATAGATCCTTCACATCAACAAATCATCCTGGCTATTCATGAGCAATGCAGCTACAGCCTCACACATGGCGGTAAAGATGGTGCCTTCCCAATGTCCCGAGGAGTTAGGCAAGGCTGTGCACTATCGCCAGTATTGTATGCTGCCTTCACGGTATGGTTCCATGCACAGTTGAAGGACCGTACGTCACAAGCATGGGCAGACAGGCTTGTAACCCTGTATGCGGATGATTCTCACTTAGCTTGGGAACTGGAATGTGTTGAGGACCTAGGTTTCATGAAGAAATGCATCCAGGCTACCTTTCAACTTTTCAGGGAATGCGGTATGACTGTAAATGCCTCAAAGTCCACTGCGGTCCTTGCATTGAGAGGCAGTGCAGCTCACCGATGGCTGCGATGCAACAGCCAGAAGGTCCAGAACACGGTTTATATCAATTTTGGTACCCCGTCGGACCCCATTTGGATCCCTAGGTCCCAGAGCATGGTTTACCTTGGCATTGTTGCATCGTATGCCGGCTTCGAGATGCAGACTCTGCGTCATAGACTGCGAGCTGGCATGCAAGCCAGGCAACGCCTTGCAAAGCTTCTGCATTCCCGTGTGCTTGGTCTCAAGTATCGGGTGCGTCTCTACACTTCCTGTGTTAAAAGCACGGTTCTATACGGCCTGCATGCGGTTGGGGTTACTAGTGCGGTGTTGCAGAAACTTGAGTCCTGGGATGCACGATCTTTGCGTGCTGTGGCCAAATCCCCGGTCCATCTGTCGCGCGAGAATAACGGCGCCTTCCGCAAGCGCATCGGCGCGGAATCCCCCACTGCCAGCTTACATAAGTTGCTCCGCAAGCGAACTGCCAAAGTCCTGGAGCCATGCTGTGTGCAACTGTTTCAGGAACAACTAGACTTCTTTGCGGAGCTTGCACAGTCTGCTAGTGGCAGTGTGAAGGGTTTGCAGCCAGTCGCGTGTGTGGCGAGCGAAGGGGAGGCCTGTCGGATCTGCGGACAGTACTTTCCCAACAGACGAATCTTGCTTACACATATCTCCCGGCAGCATCCCGAATCTGCTGCACCGAAGCGCCCGGCTATGCCCCACAACCATGTGTACAGCTTACATGCGGCGGACGGCATGCCGAAATGCCGCCACTGTGGGGAAGTGTTCCAAAGGGTTGATGGACTCAAGAAGCATCTCAAGTCAGCGTGCACTGTTCTATATCCCAAAGCGGCGACATCGGGCCGAGCAGGCTCCACCGGTGAGGGAGAGGATCAGGTCCCTCTCTCTCACAGCGAGGTGCTAGGTCGCACCTCCGTGGTGGAGTACTGCCCTCCGCTGATAGAGGATCCCGAGTATAGCGCGCAGTGTCAACGCTGGAAGGATGTCTTCCGCAACCAGACATATGCTGAGAAGCTCAAAACTCACTGCGTGATCTGCAATCAGTGGTTATGCATGGTAGGCCCCGGAGTGAAGCAGCACTTTCGCCTCATGCATAAAGAGTACATGAAGCATCATGATGCTGCGGTCTCGAGACAGACCAGCCTTGGCTTAGTAGCGCTCCACCCGTGCCGCTATTGTGGCGAGGAGTACAAGAACCCTCGCTCGCACCTTAAACATTGCCCTGCGTTGTACCAGGCCAGTCTTAGCGGCCTTATTCTGCACGCATCCACATCCACTCAGGTTCGCGAGCCCTTGCATGGACCTGCCGATGGAGGACTCAGCCCCGAGCGTAGCCCAGAAAGAGGTTGCCGAGTTCTTCGGGAACAAGGATCGTGCGAAGGAGGCAGCGGAGGACGGCTGGACCGAAGAGGGACGTCAGCCAAAGTGGCGGAAGCCGGAGTGGGGCGAGGGCAAAGGAGCTCGCTGGTGGGGTGGCTCACAAAAACGAGGATGGGAGCCGACACAGAGGTCGGAGTCCTCAGAGGGCCTCGACGGAGCCACGGTGGAGCTGATCCAGGCCATGACAAAGCTCGCCCTCAAGCACGAGGAGGAGCTGGGCAGATCCCGCCCAGAGACGGGATTCATGGCCTTCTTCGATGTTGGCGACCACGGCTACCTCAAGACCCTTCGCGAGACGGCCTTGGAGTGGCAGCAGAAGTGCGAGCAAGGACTGGTGAAGAGTCCGCTACGGCACATCCTGTTCTTGTGTCTCCTGAAGGACTTCAAGGCCAAGCTGCAGACTCTGTTCAGCGATCAGGAGAAGCTTCAGAAGTGCTTCCAGATGGAATGGCTGGTGGAGGGCAGCACTGCCCTAAATCCCCGCTGGCAGTACTACCAATGGAATCCGACCCTGCGGGCCCAGGAAATCGCCACTCAGATCCCGCCGATCAGCCACATGGATCTCCTCACCCAGCTGGATGTTCTCGAACAGCATGTGGCCACAGCGAACAATCTGACCAGATTTCGAGCGGTTCGAGGCCTGGAGGAGGAGTCGCAAAACGAGGTGGAACCCTTCATGCTTTCTTTCGGGTTCAGGGACCCGTCCTCACACCTGTGCCACGCGGCGATGACGAGGCTGTGCGGCTGTGCGGTGACCAAGGTGATGGGATTCCGAGTTCGCCCGGAACGAGCCAGCAGACAGCCGTGTGCCCGCGCAGTGGAGGAGGCGTACCTTCGCACCAAATATTGCGATTGGCGCCCTCGCAAACCACGAGCAGCCCGCAGCTCCCAGACCCAGAACCAGGGCTGAGTGCGGCTGAGGCCGCTGCCACTGCTGTTCACTTTAGGCCACATGCAGACCCTCAGCTACCGATAGCTAGACTGCGTAATCCCAGCAATCACTGCTACATCAATACCTTCATGCAGGTGCTGTGCTGGATGGGCGAATTGACCGCCTCCAAGACACTTTGCCAAGGTTTTGGCCAGGCAGGGTTGCGAGCACTGATGCAGAAATGCACTGTTTGCATCACTGATCAACTGCACTGGCGACGCCATCTGAGTGCTTGGCCGCAGCCACACCGACAGCATGATGTTTGCGAGTTTGCCGAATTTACCGTGTCTCAGCTAGGAATTACTGCCTTCCACGGTCGCTGGGAAGCACGACTGGAACTGCCCGACACCTGCAGTGATGCAGGCACCCTTGAGGCGCCGCTCCCATTGCATCACCTGAGTCTGGGAGGCCTGCAAGCCATGCTTGATGCATGGCACAAACAATACGCGATACACGCTCTCACATGTCACTCTGGGCTGTTAATGTTGCAAATCTGCCGCTATACTGATGGTGCTGCAGTAGGCAAAGATGACACAATGCTCAACGTGTGCCCTGGACAGGTGGTTCAAGTTCCAGTCTTCAGCAGTGACGTGGGCACTGCTGTTCGAGCCGAGTCCTTCGTGATAGGAGCTGTCATTCTGCACCTAGGGCCCAGAGTCACAGAGGGGCACTACCAAGCGTACATAGGAAAGCCTGTCCCCCAGCAACCGACCCTACCATGGACAGAGTACCTCTGCGATGATAACAGGCCCCCGCGACGAGCCACAGCTAAGGATAGGACGCTAATGCAAGCGAACTCCTATCTAGTTGTACTCGCTCGTTGCTAGCCCGGACCGCGTGAGGATGGTTAGGTCGCCATCCTCCGCGCGGCTAGGTCGCCGCGCAACGCAATTCAGACCTGTGTCCGATCTGATGTGGGCCTGTTGGCCCGGCACGCTGAAGTCGAGTGCCTATCCAGAAACAATTTTCTCTGCAAATTGGTTGGTTTGTTTATATGTTTATCTGTTTTTGCCATACTCACAGCAGTCCACCGTTTGCTATGATCGCCATGGCCGTTCGATGCATACCGAATGCCCAGCATGCACTGCCATTTGCTGCCTATCACCATAGTTCCCGTGTCAGCACGAGTGGCTCGAAGCAGTCCTCTGCAGTGTCCACAGCAAGCTCAGTGGCGCTGCGCTCAGGTCTTACTCTGGCCACACTGTGCAGCCTTGCCAGTACTCGCTAGCGTCTCGAATCTGCGTAGCTCTGTCTCTTGGCTTCAGGGGTAGCGAACTGCTTTATCGGCATGGCCAGTCAGCACCATGTGCCGTGGGATGTGTATCAGGACTCTCTCTCGGAGTACTTGATTCGATCTGCGTATGAGTCGCTGCTGCAGCAGCAAGGGGTCGAATTTCAACCCCTAGACGTCAGTATGCTGAGCTACAATGACATCCTTGCACATGCTGCCCGGATCCTACGAGCTGACCTGATGCAACAGCTGTACCGATACTCAGCGGATCTGAGTGAGAGCATGCCGGCGCTGCCAGGCCCTGCCCTTCCGATGTCACTTCCATTGCCTCCTGGTCCTGTGGCACCAGCGGAGCAGTATGCCTATGACCTGCTTAATGGCGGCGCTTGCTCCCTCTGGAGTGCACTACGGATGGCGATAAACCTTATTCAGTTTGAGCCGGCCCGCCATGGCAAGATCAAAAATCAGCCTGGGGCCATGAGCTTCTCACTGGGTGCCTTCTCGCGCACTTGCTTTGTGGGAATCTGTCGCAATACCCTTCGATATCCCAATCTGTGCAGACTGGTGAATCGTTACATCATCCACACTCTCCCCGAGCATCATTGGACGAGTGTGGCAATCCATTGGAACTGTCAACTGCCGTTGCACAGGGACCATGGCAATGGACCGGTCCCCAATGCCTTGTTCTCGCTATCGGCTTTTGAAGGTGGAGACATCTGGATTCAGTCGGAGGAGGGCTCGGAATACCAGGAGGTCTCGGGGCAAATGCTACGAGGGAAAAGCTGGAAACTACATGATGCAGCCACTGTCTTTCCGGCTCACACTGCGATGCACGGCACCACGCCCTGGCGAAGGGAAGACCGGGTCACCATGGTGGCCTATTGCATCCGCAACTACTACTCCCTCGATCAGTCCTTTCGCACACAACTTGAGGAGCTAGGTTTCTGCTCCCCTCCGGCGGAAATGATGACAACCAGATTCCCGCCACAGATCCTGCCACCGGTCCTGTACGACGACTGAGCAGGCTTAGCAATGCAGGGACGTCCAGCATGACGTCGGGCCCTTGATGTCCTAATGTGAGGGGTTCTTGTGCTGTATTCAGAGAGCATGCACCAAATCCCAGACCGCAGATGAAGGCAAGCTTCTTGACTCAGCGAGGGTCTCATAGCTGATTTGCCTACCACCGCCGATTGAACCTAGGTAGTCCCCTCCTTGTCCCCTAGGCTAGTGGTGCTCTCTGTTAGTAGCCAGTGTACACACAGCGCCTTGCTACGTGTACAGATGGTGACATGCGTGGCAGAAACCGTTGCATGACACCAAATGCTGTGAATCGCCGTGGCCAGGACTGCTGCAGGGGGCATAAGATCGTCTTTGGACCGTGCACTGCATTTGCATGTGCCTTCGTGGAAGCACTGCCATACGTTGCCTGCCGTCACCTATTCCCCTCCCCTCCCCTAACTGCCCGCACCCTACTCTCCTCAGGTCAGCATGGAATCCCAGCCGACGGAACGGCGCACACGCTGCTGCAGCCGGTTGGGTTGCCAGCGGCACTATGATCGGGTGAGCAAGGCCTACTGTTGCTCTGGCTGTGCACATGGACAACGCCATACACGTCGCTGTCATAATTATCAGCGTAACAGGCAGCGCGCTATGCAACAGGCCTTGCGAGCAGGGCCGACAATGTGCCGAACGCCAGGATGCGTGAGGCTCTCGGGAGTGGGACATATCACCTGCTGCTCCGCATGCGGCCATGGAGGAGTGGGAATGGCTCAACATACACGGCGCTGCAACCGCGAGGATCGTCGCCCAATCACCGGCATTTCCGGCTCCTCTGCTGGGCACTTATCGGAGACCTTTGTGGCTAACAACAACAGCACTGGCTCGGATGCTGCTGCTGCTGCTTCTACTTCAGCTGCGAATGTTTGCCACCTGGATCCTCCGGCCTTGTCTGGCAGTGGGACGACCGCCGATATTGGTGCTCTGCAGACTACCTCCACTGCTGAGCCGACGGAGGCGATGCCCAGCTTGGATAGCACCAGCGTTTTGGCCGAAGCTGAGACGGACCCTGCTGTGAGTACAGATATGAGTATGCGTAGTTTTGACCTGGATGCACTCGACTGATGTAGTGAAGTGTAGCGAAGTCGCTTTCGGAGCCATAAAACATGGTGCGACCATGAGTCGCCGAACCAAAGGTTCGTCCTCGTCGGATGCCAAGGACTTGGTGAGACGCATGCAAGTGCAAGTACTACTACTACTACTACTACTACTACTACTACTACTACTACTACTACTACTACTACTCCTGCTACCACCACCAGCACCACCAGCACCACCAGCACCACCAGCACCACCAGCACCACCAGCACCACCAGCACCACCAGCACCACCAGCACCACCAGCACCACCAGCATCAGCAGCACCAGCAGCACCAGCACCACCAGCACCACCAGCACCACCAGCACCACCAGCACCACCAGCACCACCAGCACCAGCACCAGCACCACCAGCACCACCAGCACCAGCACCAGCACCAGCACCAGCACCAGCACCAGCACCAGCACCAGCACCAGCACCAGCACCAGCACCAGCACCAGCACCAGCACCAGCACCAGCACCAGCACCAGCACCAGCACCAGCACCAGCACCAGCACCAGCACCACCAGCAGCACCACCAGCAGCACCAGCAGCACCAGCACCAGCACCACAGGAGCACCATCAGCAGCACCAGCAGCACCACCAGCCCCACCAGCACCACCAGCACCACGAGCACCACCACACCAGCACCACCAGCACCACCAGCACCACCAGCACCACCAGCACCACCAGCACCACCAGCACCACCAGCACCACCAGCACCACCAGCACCACCCAGCACCGACAACACCAGCACCACCAGCACCACCAGCACCACAGCACCACCAGCACCAGCGGCATCACCACCAGCGGCATCACCACCAGCACCACCAGCACCACCAGCACCACCAGCACCACCAGCACCACCAGCACCACCAGCACCACCAGCACCACCCGCACCACCAGCACCGCCAGCACAGCCACCACCAGCACCACCAGCACCGCCAGCACCCAGCACCGCCAGCACCGCCGCACCACCAGCACCAGCAGCACCAGCACCAGCACCAGCACCAGCACCAGCACCAGCACCAGCACCAGCACCAGCACCAGCACCAGCACCAGCACCAGCACCAGCACCAGCACCAGCACCAGCACCAGCACCAGCACCAGCACCAGCACCAGCACCAGCACCAGCACCAGCACCAGCACCAGCACCAGCACCAGCACCAGCACCAGCACCAGCACCAGCACCAGCACCAGCACCAGCACCAGCACCAGCACCAGCACCAGCACCAGCACCAGCACCAGCACCAGCAGCAACAGCAACAGCAACAGCAACAGCAACAGCAACAGCAACAGCAACAGCAACAGCAACAGCAACAGCACAGCAGACCACCACCACCACCAGCACCAGCACCAGCACCACACCAGCACCCACCACCACCACCACCACCACCACCACCACCACCACCACCACCACCACCACCACCACCAGGAGTGCTGCCATTGTCTATCCCTCGCGAGCCATTTACAGCAGTGTTGCAAGTCCCGATGTCGCAAGCATTCAGCAGCTGCAACCTTCCCACAACTTTTCGGCAGGATCGGCGCCTCACAATCTCGATGGCTGCAAGGACGATGTCCTGGAGACGTGGCGCGGCACAGAACTTCAGAAGGAGCTGAACGGAGAGAAGATGGGAGAGCAGCTGCGTTTCCATCGTGCTTTCCAAGCCATGTCTCGTCGAGGCTCGAGGCCGCTGGGGTCTCGCAAGCCGAGCTTGTGCTTTGCGGGCATTCCTTCGGCGGGAAGGTGGCCCTGGTGCCCCGCCCTACTTTGCAAATCTCTGGCCGAGTGACATACATTCAGAAGCTTGTGATCTCTGAGGCCGTCCTTCGTGCTTTGTCAGCCCAAGGCAAGCCTCCCAGGTGCACTTGGATCTTTGATTCCGTTCCAGGACGCTGGATGACTGAGAGTGTTTCTTCGCTACATTCACGGTCTCGCAGCAGGACGGCCAGCACAATCTTCTGCAGAAGAGGAGCGGCGGCTGCAAAGTGCCGCCTGGTCAGCACGGAGTTCAAGTCGGGGAGGTTGTTGGACAGGCAGACTTGCACGCCAGCGCCGCAAACACCGGATCATACTCCAAGACGAGCCTTCGGGGATAGTAATCAATCTCTCAGCTGCTTGTGCTCCACAAGCATAACGGCAACAGCAGCTGAGGAGACAGTAAGTACAGAAATGGATAGGCAACTGGGATCGAGGTTCGTCGTTGTCAAGCCTGGAGAGCCCTACGCTGTTGGCACGTGGTGGCAGGGGTTCGACAATGGCTGTCTGTTCATACGAGGTGAACTTCGTGCTTGGAGCTGTAGCCTCTGCGGCGTCGAGACGTTTCAGCAGTCGCAGCGATGCTTGGCTGTGCATTTGCATCCCTGCGAGGGTACTGTGTGGCAGTCTGATATTTGTCTCGACGGGGCTCCGCGAAGCGCTGTGATGACTCTGATGCCCAGAACGAAAACATGAGAAGTCTGGAGACCTCCGTTAGCACTTCAGTAATGAAAAAGTTTCAGGATACCGTGAATCATGAGTGAGGGCCTTGAATGGATGCACCGCAGGACGTCCCCGTGCTGGAGCGTGTGGAAAGACTCACTCACTCCGCCCAGCTTCCACAGGGGTCTAACACAGCTGCATGCCCAAAGGGGTCGGATCAGGCAGGAGGCCCCTGCAGGCGGGGGGGGGGAGGGGGGGAAGGATACGAAAGGAAGACAGAGATAGGTGGGGGAACCCTCTGAACCTGTGGTCCTCGTTGGGGGGGTTCCTGCTTGAGCGGATGGCGTGGTGGATCACGGCCGTGTGGCTCCGAACTTCCCGTGCTGCCCCCTGTGTCCCCGGTCTGACAGATCCAGGGCGCTGGGAGATGCCCTGGTCCAGAAGAAGAGAGCAGAGCTCTGCCATTGCCATGGACCGCGGCTCAGGATCTCGTTGAGGTGTTGCAAGCCGAGCATGGGCTTGCGCCGCCTGCGGCAGCATGGATCGCCACTCGGCCTGTCAGACTTCTGAAAAGTCTTTAACGCAATGAGGGACTTAGCGAAAACTGCAGGCTCAATCGGTTCGTCAAGTGCCGACGCAGCCTCAGCTTGGTGAGTACTGAGCACGCGACCTGATGGGGATCAAAACTTGACCAGGGATGGAGTGGAGCTGAGCTACGATATGGAAGTAGTGCGTGGAGACCCAAGCTCCCTTGACGGAAACACTGTCGGAGTCACCATCGATCTCGAGTGCAGTAGTTGCCGAGGCGAGATTTATGAGGCTTATCGCAGTACGGATATGTGGGACTTGCTCCAGGAGGGCAATGCCGAGCTTCGGATGCAACGATGACGATGTGTAGGCAGCACGTCGTCTGTAAAGTTACACAAATCGTGAATGAGGGAGGTGGTCGCAGAGCTTGAGCCATCATGTCCTGAGGAAGTTGGGATCGTAGTGGCGGGGCGTAACAGGCAAGGGCAGCACAAGCCGGCAGAAGTAGGTGGTGATGCGGCGGGTACTAGCCAGATTCGACTTCTTCCTATCTCCGTCGGAGGCAGAGCTGGGGGCCGGAAAACCTTCAGCGACTGGAGAACTGCCACGAGGTCGGTAGTCGCTCTGGCGTCAAAAATTGTCCAGCCGCAACATCCACGCTCCTTGCAGGGCGTGCAGGTGGTCACGCTGGAAAATGCAGGGCACAACGTGCGCGGAGCTAGACACCTTCGGAATCCCGGGATGAAAAGGTGCATTCTGCATGTATCCCGTGCTTCGTGTGGATCGCTGCAGGTTCACGTGGATGATTTGCCGGGTCTGTTGACTGCGATAACTCCGAGCTTCGCATAAGCGAAGCTGCTTCGAGCTCTGTCGAAAGGGCGGTGTCTCAACGTGCAACGTGCCTACGGGTGGTCCGGTGCAGCATGCTGTCCGTTGAAGATTGCAGTGCACGAAGAGTCGCTTACCGTTGCGAGTTGGCTCCCAGTCTCTAGCCTTGACCGTGGGCCGCTTCAGCCACATGTCCGTTCTGGTGAAGGAGACTTCGGGGCCCCACCACACCCACGATTGATTATCTCCAGTCCCGGCCCAGGTCCTCTCGAAGAGGGAAGACTCTCAACGGTCTCAGCAATCGCTCACAGTTTCAGCGCTCTTTCAGGACTTGGTCGGAAATGAGTACAAGCTCGAGCTGACTGGTATCATATCGGCACCAAGGGGTGGAGATGCTATGCAGCTTTGTCAACTTTCCGAAGCGGGCTTGCATGGGGCCCAACAGAGAGCCGCTTCAACCCAAGTCTGTTGCAAAAGCTTTCAACTCATCCCGACAAGGGTCGCCTAGGCTAGTTTGGAGCCGTCGTTGAAAAGGGGCCCCTCATGAAGCTTCAAAGCTAGACTCAAAAGACGGAGCTCCAAACCCATTCGATGCTTCATGATTGAGACATTGAGAATCATAGAGTCACTTCCTGGAAGCTCGAAGTCCTCAAACTCGTGATGGGGCAGTGCGTACATGCTCCCCAGGTCTGCAAACCGTTCTGGACTTGAAGAAGCTTTTGGAGCAAACTGTGGTCGACCTCCCCATCCCACAGCAACGATTAACTCTCCTCCGCACAGAGAAGAGGCTCGGGGCCGGGAGGAAGCTGTGTTTGTCGACCAGTGGATCGCCGCAGGCTGGAGCCCGAGTCGCAGCAGCTGGCAGCCTTGGGTCTCAAGGATGGTGATGAGCTGGCCGGGGCCCCGGAGGCTCTTTCAGGAGCCATGGCCCATGGCGTCCTTCCGACACGAAAGTTGCTTGTTGCCAGGAGTTGCAGGTGCTTTCATGGACGGAGGCGCAAGGACTTTGACAGGCTTTGCTGCGCAGGCAGGGACCTGGAATGTGGGCCGTGCCATGCATGTTGCACACAGACCTCAAAGCGACAAGATTGTGACATTCTCGTCACTTCTTGTCTCAGCCCTCGGTATGTTGAGGCAGTTTCGCAGCGCCCACTGCCTCAGCGGGGCTTCTTGGCGATCTGCGACGGGACCCGGGGACGACGGTTTCCCGGACCCCGGACGAATTGGACAGAGACTCTTCGTTGATTCAGAACGCCCTCTGCGGCCAAAGCATGGGACAAAACGGGAGCTGTGGCGCGACTAGCTCTTTTCATCACTGGTTCACCGGTTTGCTTGCGCGGAAATGCGGATGTACCTTTCATGCGGCTTGCGCAAGCGGTTCCTCGGCAGACCCGTTGTTCTTACAGCTTCGGTAGCCAGGCGGAGAAAGATCACGATGGGGTCATGCTGTGCCTGTTTCAGAGTACTTTGAGCACACTTTTGAGCATAATCATGGGCAGGGCCAGGCGGCAGAGACTCCTAAACCATCCTCCAACACAGGGTTCTTCTAGACTACTGGTCTTGCGACCACATTCGTTGCAAACCAAGCATTCTTGATTGCGCCGTGGCCCATGACAAAACGCCCGGCTGCCGCTGCGCATGTAAACAAACGGCAGCGGACGAGGCAGTTTCAAGTGTCGGGATGGGTCGACTGAGGCGTAGCAGCATCACGTGCGTGTCGCGCCTTGCCAGTTAGGGCTGACGGCTAACTGTACGGGACTCCTAAAGTCCTAAACGCAACCCTCCAAGGCTCAAGGGCAGCATTATGCAGTATTCCGGGGCATGAAAGGCTTCAAAGCATTCTCCACGCCGAAGACTGGAGCGGGCAAATGTGTAGGCTTAAGTTGCAGCGAACGTTACTGCCGGTTGCTGATCAGCTCAAGTCTCCTGGAAAGTCCGTGCCCTTGGCAGTTGGCACAGATGAAGCAAGAGGTGTCTGTTTTGTTTAACCCCTCGGGTGTAGGCTAGCCAGGGTCCAGGGTGCTCATGAATCCAAGTCACGGTGTCCTGATCCTTCACGCTGCCTCAGCTCGAGCCAATGGCCGGCCGGTGCTGCGGGAAGTCACAAACTTATGCCAGATCGCTGCCAGACTGCCAGGGTTTCGGGCAGGAAAGCCGTGGACGAGGCGCTGTCTACACTGTCTCGTAGCTCTCGTTGTTCGACCCATGTGAAGGGGCCGACGACCTGAATCTTGCTGGGATTGGAGCCAGCGTAAGGGGTTTGCTTTTGCCAACAGCACGGGTTTCAGGCTTCCCCGCGCATGCGGGCGCCACGGGAGAGACGCTGAAGATGGCGAAAGTCGTCTTGAAGGTGTGGGTTTGCATCGTGACAGAGAAGACTTCGGTGAGAGTGTTTTAAAGATCGATCCCGCCGATGTCCATGCCCAGTCGAGAGGTCGTGTGTTCGTCTGGCCCGATTTGCAAATTCCGAAGTGGGGTAGAGCTGAAAAAGCTTCAATCCTGAAACTTACGGCTCAAGTTTCGCCTTTTTGAATTCCGATTGTGGCTTGTAGCGGTCGGTAGACCCGGTAGACATGGAGAGCCATGACGACAATGGCAGTGAGCAGAGCATGTCCACGGCAGTGGCGACACTACGGCACTTGGAGTATGTGGTCATGACTTTAGCTCACATGAACCAGCAGATGTCAGACTTTCGTGGTATCACGGCTTCCCTGGCAAGGATCGAAAGGAGCCTCCGCACCATACCGCCCGACTCCGGCAGTCGGCTTCGCAGACCTTCGGATGGTTCCGCGAGGTCAGCGATGTCTGCAGTCAGAGTGGATGCCGAAGGGATGCAAACACCGAAGCTGGACTCGGATGTTCAGTCTTCTATATATGGACTTGAAGCGGTTAGGGCTGAGGAGCTATGCAGCAGACGAAAGGGCACAAAGAGGTCTACTCGAAGCCCCAACAGGAGTCCAAGAAAGCCTGCACATGAGCCAGTAGATCTGCTCGGCCTCCACCAGCCCAGTTCGCATGACTCTCGGCTTCAGGAATCGAAGAAGGTCTCACAGAAGCTGTCCAGATCTGCTTCCTCATCAGCTGTTACACCGGACAACGCTGTGGCCGAAGTTATCCCAGAACCTCCTGCCAGCATAGAGCCACGCGCTCCTACGTCGCCACCTGCTATGTGTAGGAGGAAGTCTCTGGACGATCTTCGCCAGTTTCATGACGCGGTCATTGCGGCCCCCACGCATGTATCCCCTGTCTCACGCCGGAACTCCGTGGAGACAGCAACAGCACTACCGCTCATGGGCTGGTTCCTGTTGTCGATGGTTGGCATACTCGACTTCTCCGACGGCAGGAAGTGGCGATACCTTGCACGGTGCAGCCTAGGGGTGCAAATTGCGGGCCTTATCAGTCTGGTAGCGGCCATGAGTACATGGACTGGTGATTTCGAGGACCTTGAGCCTCTGATCACAACTGCGCTTTACTTCTTTGGTGTCGCGGCTGGCGTGCTTAGCCTGCGAAGGAACAAGATCACATGCCTCCTGGGTCCCTCCGAGTACCTGATGGATGACTACGCAGTCGAGTCGGACTTTCTGGAAGACTGGAGAAAGGTTTCCAAGGCACGGCTTCTTCAGATCAGTGGCTTCTTCGTCCTTATGAACAGCTCGCGGGTGGGTGCTTTGTTTCTGACAGAGAGGGAAATCTTTGGGAAGTACAAGGATATCTTTGGCTTCGATGTTCTCACGGTGGTGGCCTTCACTTCCATGGCAATGTGCTATTGCACGGCTTGCTATTGTGTGCTGCATCTAACTGCAGGTCTGGAGCTTGCAGTGGACAGCTTTGCATTGCGCTTCTTCAGCACGGGCGACATGGAGGCCGCAGTGATGAGTTGGAACATAGTGCAAGCCACGTTACGACAGACTTCGTGCAAGCTCAGTGATTTCCTGGTACTCCTCGCTTCCTCCTGCATGGGCGCATTAATTATCTTTGCATACCAGGTTGCGTCCCTGACTCTTTCTGGTGAAAGCGTGTCCGTGGAGAACATCATCAAGTGGTTAGGGTGGTTGTACTCTCCGTTGATCCTGTTTCTCTACGTCCTGTCGACTTCAGCAGCCGTCACAGAGAAGGTCGATCGCTTGGCCCCTCTTGTGAACTCGTGGTCGTTTGACGGTCGCGAAGTCCTTGACGAATCGCGACAGTATGTGGTTTCGTATATTCTGCATAGCCGTGCAGGGTTCTATGCGCGAGGTATTCGCATAACATCCGCGAACGTGCAAAAGCTCGTGTACTACTTCGCAGCAGGGTCGTTCGGCCTCCTCACTAACCTATGGCAGAGATAGCATCAGTCGCTGCAATGGAGCCGACTGCCCGAGACGTGACGTATTCCTTTATGGGTTGAAGTTGCTTGCCCTGAAGTGCAAGTTCCGATTGTTTAGCTGATTGAAGCATGCTTCAAAGATGTAGGTACATCGTGTGTTGAAGCTTTTCGGCTTCATGCAGCCAGCCCACATCCAGTCTCTTGAGTATTTCATGTTCCTGAAGAGGTTGGTCTGTCCACGCCAACGCCTTGCATTAGTGTCGTCGTGCATTATGCAAGCTTGCCGGTAGCTGTTGGGCAGGCTGCTCGGTTTGTCTCACTTGAAGTGCTTATCGAGGCTCCGAGACTGCAAAGCAGCATGGGCCCGCACTTGGCCCCAGAGCCATGCAAGACTGGAGCCATGACAAATCCCCAACTTCCAAGCATTTGTTGATCAAGCCCCCAGATGCGTGGTGCTCCTGAAGCATGGTTGGCGGCTCAACAGAAGGTTTAAATCGGGTTAATTGATTCTCCTGTTTGCTTTTTCGTCGAGGTTGCGAAAATACACACTAACGTGCCACCTGCTTCCGAGTGCCAAGCCAGAAAGTTAAACGAGGCTTACAGACTGAAGGATAATGAAGGATATCTGGTGTCCCAGCTACTTACCATGTAGGTCCTTGGAAGCATGAACTTTGAGAATTTTCAAGAAGCTTCAAGAAGCTTCGAGAGGGATAGTCCGGTGCAGGGGCGTGCGGGGTGCTGAACCCGGCGCCTCGGTGCCTCCCGCTTCGTCGGCTTTTTGCAGGACCCGTTGAACTTTGAACTTGTCCTCCAACTTCACCCTGCGATGCGGGCACAGATCCGGCCAGATTGGCCAAATGCAACCTTCAACTTTTCACCAGAACGCCAGAGCTGCCAGGTCAAAAAGCAATCGTGGGGCCTTCATTGCCAGTGCGTCGGGAGAAGGGGGGGGGGGGGCGCGACAGGCCTACCGTCTTCATCGACAAGTTTCTCATGGCAGATCCCGACCTCAAGCCCATTGCAGAACCCGGCGTTCGGATGACTGAGGCTCTTCGAGCATTGCCTCAGAGTTCAGCCCAAGTGGCAAAAAGCTACGAGTCGGCTGTTCAGAAGCCGTGGTTTTGCATCAGGCGTATGGATGCTCAGCTCAGAATCGGCACTATACTTCGCCGAAACCTAGTCAAGTCGGAATGCCATGTGCAGATTTGCTTCAGCCTTGTTCGGAATCCATACTCCTGACTTGACCCCCAGATCTTTGGATTCTCTGTCTCTCACTGAACTTCAAATCCGCATGAGGTCTCGAAGTCATGTGAATATGCCATTACTTCGGCACCCAGAATGAACCGCCGCATCCCCTCCGAGCAACCGTGGAGCAGATGAGTTGCATGCTCTTCGTGCTTTGTTAAGGCTCAGTGTATATAGGAGAAGAAGAAGCTAAATGCAGCCGGAAAAAACATCCAACCAGAGCTCTCATTGAAGTCGCAAGAACGCTAGCCGGATCAGGGCATGCGTGAAAGCAATCTCACTGCCACCAAGGACTGTGAGAAGTTGGCTCCAGCGGTGCGGAATTTGGCGGCAAAGAAGCGGCATCATTGCAGGCGAGTGAGTGGCCAGCCCAAGCCACTGTCATGTCAACCTCCAAGCCGTTCACATGCGTGGTGCGAATATGCGGGGCCTGTGGGCAGCTTGCTTCCCGGCTGCAGCCAGGATGAAGCAGAATGTCTGGATCAAAGCCACTTGAGCAGGGCCGACGGGGAAAACCTTGCTTGTGGCACACCACTCTAAACAGGCACCCATCGAAGAACGAGCCGGTTGGATCTGCATGTCGGCTTTGGACGACAAGCGTCCCAAGAAACCAAGTGGGCTCCGAGCCAACAATTTCCGTGGGATATCTGCTGGCTAGGCTACTGATGCTGTTTTCTCATTGATATGCTGGAGGCATCGTGAGGCCAATGGTTGTTCCGATACGTACGTCACTGATGATGCCGGCCATTTCTTGCCATCGCGATTCGAGTACGTGGCCCCACTGCTGCAACTGAACTGCCACCGAGATCGCTGTGAGGCGGACGATCCCATCCCAGTGCCGGAGGGTATTCCGCTGGCACTCACTGACTGACGGCTGGGTGGAGAAAAGCATGTCTGATTAGTTCAACTACGAGCATCCGAGCGCAACAGAAAGCCCTTGCTGTTACGAGGCCTGCAGATGGTGCAGGATTTTGCATAATCTCGTCTCGAATTGCATGCGTGAGCAGCCAACCTCGACGACAGAAGTTGAACTAGAACCAGGGAAGTTCATGCCCTCCTCATCCCTCAACCCTACTCCATTTCTTCGATCCTTCGGACAGCTAACGTACCAAAATCTGCGACCGAGCGCTAGAAGGCACAAAGAAGCTGCGAGCATCGGTGAAGAGAAGAGTTCCCCGGCTGCAGTGGGCTTGCGATTGAATCTTCGATGCAAGTGTTTGCGTTCCGCAGCCGTGCTGTCCCGTGCTGTGCTGAGTCCTGCTCAGCTTTGACTGTCCTCGGGGGGCTGCTGTGGACCCGTCGCTTGAGCCAGAGGAGCTCGTGGCCAGGCCAAGCCGGTGGGACCAAAAACGGAGATGTCGGCCATGTATATGTATACTTAAGAACATATAGTAATATATCTATCTAGATATATTTATGTATTCATATGTATAAACAAATATGAATATACATGTAAGTATAAATATAAATACAGATAAATAAAAGAAAAATATGTATATATATATATATATATGTATATGTATATGTATGTATTCATATTCCTACTCAAGGGGGGCCTTGCCTGGCAGATTGCTCGCGCCTTTGTCCCGGGAAGAGTTCCTGAAGCACTGCTGGGCGGAGAAGGCCGTGGCTGCCCGGTGCCTATGGAAATCACTTGAGACCTTGGGCACAGACTTGTCGACGAGCACTAGCAAGATTTTGCTTTGAGGTGCATGGCCACCCGCGTCGTTTGGCGCCAATCATTTCTCGGTTGTCAGACCTCGATCTGGAGGCGTCTGCGAGCTCCAAAGCCACCCTTCGAAGCCTTTCATAAAACCTTTCTTGGACGGCAAGGCCATGCTGCAGGAAAGCCCGAGTGACATGGCTGCTCGGCGGCAAGGCTGGCGATGATTTCCAGATATCAAAAGATGTGTTGGGCAAATTGTCTGGGTGATGCTGTGCAGCATCTCGCTGCCTTAAGATCGAAACGGCTCAGGTTCATGCCTGGCTCCGGGATGGCAACTTGCTTGAACCCGCGGGAGACGGCATCCCCAACGTGGTGCATTCCTAAGGTCCGGATGCAACACACGGAGCGACAAGCTCGGTGCTGGGCTCAGTTGCTCAAGAGTCGGCTGCCTGCCCTTTGTGCCCCGCATGCGGGGAGCACAAATGTACTCGTAGCTGTGCAACTGCTGTCCGTCCACTTCCATCTTTGCTTGAAAAGACAGTTGTTTTTTGTCTCTCTGTGCTTTCTCTACCCTCAACACTGACATGCTGTTTTTGTTGCTGATTTGCAGCAATTACTTCTGCATGGCTATGCTGCATGCAAAATGTTCTGTGCATGTTGTAACATGAGAGCAGAAGTAGACGCATGCCACAGTGAACTCAGACTCGGCTTTGAGGGCTGATTTCCACGATGCTATGTTGCTTCTCTCTGAAGCAGCCTCCTCTTTGTCTTTCATCATGATGAGTTCCTGTGTTTGACGATATGTGCCTGAGACACAGCTTTACACCAACCTCTAAACCCCACAGTTGCACCCGCAACTCGTTGCAGAGGCGCTGCGAAGCGTGGCTGTGGACTCGGCAGCGGCAATGGGACTCCGTGCTGCCAAGGCGGCACTCTACTTTCGAGCCAACGAGGACCTGGAGAAGCTTGGTGAAAGGTCGGTAGGGTCCAAATCAGGTCTACAACTTCGACTTCGTGCTGCTTTCCTCCTGAGCCTAGAGGGTTCTAGACTCTAGGCCCTTAGGCTCTCACGTACGTTTAAGGCTAGCAAAGTGGAGATGCTGAGGACCTTGCTGGTGTCGCAGATCTGCTCTGGCCTCGGTGCCGGTGCTGCCGGAATGTACCCAGGCGCCCGAGCCGCCTCCGCTCTCTGCTATCCTCTCCTGTTCTCTGCCCTCTCTTTGTAGGTGACGGCCGGCCACGAGGGGAGATCGAAACCTTCGTGGCCTCAGAGGGCCACGTAACTGGCACCTCAGCAAAAGCTCTGCGGCACTTGGTCCCCGTCCGGTGTGTGGGCGTGATGGGGCAGGTTGGCATACGGACTTTCAGCACAACTTTACCTTCCAGCTGAGGTTCACTTGCAAGAGATAGACAGTTGAGCCTGAGCTCGGGACTGCTGTAATGGCAGGGGCGCGAAGCGATGGCGATTCAAAGCAGGGCCTGTCAAGAACAACGTGCGTGCACTGACGCCACACTTCCAGTTGGGGGCTGAGGATGGCTGCCCCATTAGTGTTGCAGAATGGCATGGAAGTTGCATTCACAGAGGCAAGCACTTGAAGTCGCTAGACTACTGTGGGGGAGTCTCGAGCAGATGCAAGGACACGGTCCAACTTTGAGCAGCAGATGAAGCTCCATTTGCTGAGCGAACTTCATATGCGCTTCAAAGGTTCTTCTGCCCACCGAAAGCTGTAGACTTTTGACAGGCCCAAGCCGACGGGAGCGTTCCAATTGCTAAGGACCCGACCGAACCGGATTTCCGGCCGCCAGACGACTTCTTTGCTGATGCAGAGGAAGTAGAGCTGCACGCCGGATCTGTGCTCTACCATCCTGCTGGGATTTGGCATCATGTGGAATGCTTGGGCGAGGCTTGTCAAACGGTAGTCTCGTTCTTTCACACACTGAATGCTAAGAGAGGTTTCTGTATGCGAAGGACCACCTGATGCCCAGGTCTTGGGCGACCATGCACCAGCAACTTTGAACACGTATCTTCATGCGCAGTAAGGTCGAAGCTGAACGGCTCAAAGTGTGCCACCTAGACCTGCAACCTGACTAAACCACAAAGGGCCGAAACCTCTATCCCCGCGCAAGCAAGCACTGCAAGTACTGTATGCCAGGATGTCACGCAAGCACTGACGGAGTTCAGAATGGGGTTCTTGGCTTGGCCCCAGGCCATCCAGAAGATTTCATCACGAATAAAGTATAACCAATGCACAGCGAGGATGCTAGATACCAAATACGTTCGTTGTGCAGGTACACGGAGTTGATCAGACTCCGCTTCCCCCATGGTGGATAGCTTCGTTGGCACAGGTACCACCATGGGCCTGTGCCCCCTGCTGTGTGCTCTGCACTCAAGTTCAGTTATATGTAAATCGTAAATAGGAAATGGCTGCAGAGCGTGAGGAGAAGGCCCTTGGATACAGGGTTGTTACACACACACCCCGCCGTAGCGGGGTGAATTAATCAGACGAAGACGGTGAGCATGTAGAGCAGGTAGAGCTGTCGGGTGAACTTGCAGGATCTGGCAGCGGTGCAAGGAAAGTCGGTGGAGAACTTCTCGGAGAGGAGTTGGCAATTCGTGCCTTTGAAAGTGACGTCGATCAACATGACGAGCGTAGACTCTAGGTGCCAGTAGACCAAGGCAAAGTTGCCAACGATGACGAAGTATCAGTTGGCTCATTATGGAATGTAGTCGACGGTCAGCGAGAAGTAATGCGTGAAGTACGCTTGGAGATGGTGCAGTTGTGAACATGCTGTACTGGTAACCGCAGATGTTCGGGTCATAGTAATCCAGTCGTTGGAAAGAAGGATTGAGTTGACAAAGTCCATGGAGGGTGTCGAGGTAGCAGCGGTTCTGAGAGGTCGTGAATCGGTGCTGTGATATGACAAAGCGTGGGTCAAGGAGGGTGCTGGGGATCTGGAGATCGGGGGAGGTCATCGGACGAACTTGCCATACTCGGAGCTCCACCAGGTAGTCAAGCCACCATTCCAAAGGAATGTCGAGTAGGTGCGGGGCCATGAGTGTACGGGCGACGAAAGGAAGGAAAGGAGAGGCGGAGGACTAACCAAATATTGCTGAAAAGGCTGCGGTAGATCAAATGGACCACGGTCAAGATGCACAAGTGAGGGTCTTTGTCTCAAGAATTGCCGTCAGTGTCCTCCAAAGCTTCACCGTCTCAGAGCGGGGAGAAGACCATGTCGTTGTTGTTCCTGTTGCCAATAAGGATTGTCCGTTGTGATGGGTGGAGGAGGTGAGTGGCGGCGAGAAATCGTAGGTGTCCATTTGGAAAAGGAAAGGCAATGCGCTGAACACCAGCATGTGGTAATCCAGGGTCCGGACGAAGTAGGTCGCCACTGTGCTAGGGTAGGATCTCGAATACGAACACGTAGGCAAAGTCGTGATGCAGAGCGTAGATGGACGTGGGCTCGCCAACACAGTCGATTGCAGTATACGACGACCGAGGGCTGATAATGATAGATCGTGAACACCGTGTTGTCGTGGTGGAAGCCAAAGAAGTTGTGGGCGCTCATCTTGTGATCTTGAAGGGCGGCGAGGAACTGTTGCCAAACGCCATATTGATGCCAGGAACAATCACCGTGATGTGCGGTCAAAATGGAGAAGGCGGAGCGGGTGGTGTGGCGGTCATCAGTGTGTGGACGTTGGCAATGACGGGGATCCAATTGTATCACAGTCTGCATCTCGAAATAGGAGAGGATCATGGGGAGGACGTCAATGAAGGAAGCCATTCGTGGGTGAGGAAGGGAAACCAGCTGTGTTTGTACAGAAAAGCTGCGGTAAAAAGGCTGCGGGTGTGGGGATGACGAAACGGAGATGTCGGGGCATGTTTTCCAGAGCGGGATCTCGTTGGAATCAGGTACTCAGAAGTTCGCGGACGGACCGTCGTCTGCGAGCGGCACAATCCCGGTAGATGAGTGCCAAAGGAATGAGTTGGTCTTCTGGTAGGTCATAGCGGCGTCGTATCCGTAAATTGTCCGAAGCTGCAGTGGGTCCTCCTCGTTCATGTGCTATGATGTCCAACATAATGCGGGCGCGATGTCTAATGCAGTTCTGCACGTCCTGATAGTACGGGGAGGCAGGAGTGCATTGGCGCCATTGTCGGAGCCACTGTTGTCGGCGACGTTCTGCGGCATCTCCATGGAATGAAACGGTGGAATGTGTAGTGCCTGACTTGCTGCGGCGTACTCGATGTAATGTATAACCATTTCCTCGGGGAGGAATTCGGACACGAGGGGGAGCGTCCAATGTTGCTGAGGGAGGATTCGTCGTGGCTGGTGTAGCTCCTGTCGCTGGAGTGGTAGTGCTGGTCCCCGAAGGTGTCTTCCGTGGACGTTTCTTCGAACGGGACGAGGAGGTAGGTGGGTCCACTGTTTGTAGTTCCGTAGTGGGGGACAAAGAAGATGATGAAGACGATGAAGATGTCGAAGATGATGTTGACGTAGCCTTGGAAGGTCGAGATGATGTGGAAGAAGAGGAGGTAGTATGGTGGCGATGTCGTCGACGGCGTTTACTGGGTCGTGTTCTTGGGAGAGGAGAGGGAGAAAGAGGAAGGGTGCGATGAGGTGTGGGTTCCCCATCAACATCTGAACCTGCGGGAGGTAGACCAGCATCATGTGCGGAGGAGGCGTCCAGGTCTGAGTCCATGTCCGGGTCTGGTGTCCAGGTGACGTCGTCCAAGAGATAGGAATCGGGGGATGAACCGGCCATGACTAAGGGCTCTGGTGGTAACTTGACCTAAAATGCCTGCGAATAAATCAACGAACGGAAGGGCGCCAGTTCAATACACGCATGGGAGCAAGTTTTCCGGGGGTTCACTGACCTGTCGCCAACGTAGTCCAAAACGACGAAGCACGGACCGGGATGCGTCTTCCAGTGAGCGTTCAGAGAAACCTCGTTCACGATATAGATGAACAAGTTCACGAACTTGAGGTGCAATGACGGCTTTGGGCCAGGATAATCGGCAAATGAGATAAATCCGCGTGGTAAGTCCCTGAGTGTTCCTGCGTGTCGAAGAGACTGAACACGGAGAGCGCAAAGAGATACTGTTCCGTGGGAGGACAAGTCGGATGGAACGTTGTGCGGTGTCCACGACGGTGCCCAACAGTTCTTGTCCCGGAACATGTTCCAATTCCAAGGGAAGGCCATAGAAATGTGGATGTAGATATACCTCTTGGAACCAACCATACGATGACGTAGAGGATGAAGAGAGAGGATCGTGGCCTCGGTGGGAGTGGTGTCGTTGGCAGTCGTCCAGGGATTCCAGTTCCCCATCCCAAATCCGAAGGAGGCAACGATTGTCCACATAGCGTGAAGAACAGAAATAACGAGAGGTCAGCATCTGATCGCGAATGAGTTGGTGGAATGTGGCTTCCCACAGGGCTGCGGTCGCTCCGCACATTGAGGGGGCCATGGGTGAGCCCATAGAGGCCCCGCGATGTTGTACCAAAATCTCCGTGCCAACTGTGAAAAAGGAGTGACGTAGCAAGAACATAACCAATGAAGGTAAGTCACGAAGGCATAGAGGTTTGTAATGTGAACCGGCTTTTCGATATCGGCCTCGAAATAGGCGACCAAGTGAATTGCGGTCCCGCATCGTGATCTGTATGTCAGAGTCCAAGGGAATCTGTTGGTGGCGAGCGAACATGTCTGTCAACGACGAGATCGAGTGGTAAATGCGATCATGTGGAACCGAAGTGAAGAAACCAGAAAGATCTTGTTGAAGTAGTTGAAGTTCCACGGTGACCGGGTTGTTGCGGAAGGCATGGATGAACGTCTGGATGATGGAGTGGACGGTAGGAGAAACGAACTGAGGTGGAACAACCGTCTGTAGCATCTGTAGGACGGCGGTGGAAAGAAATTTCGCGAGCGTGGCACACCACGTGTTGGAATAGCTGACAATCGGGCGACCCTTCAAGACTTGTTTGGAGGGCTTGGGGAGCACGTAGGCGTACGGCAAAGATTCTTTGGGTGCCAGGGCCCAATGATAACGTGTAGGAACATGTCGTTTGATGGCTCGTTGTATATGTTCCGATAGCTGCATCGGGTTGGTGTCTCGTCGCCAGAAAACTGCAGGATCCAGAAAGGTTTTGGTCAAGATGTCGAAGTATTGTTGAGGACAAAATGCATAAGCCAAATGCGGTCCATGATCAATGGGGGAGATCACGATGTGCTCTGAGCTTTCCCGTAAGTTCTTGAGTTCGCGTAACTGTCTGCCGTCAGGTCGCATCCGTAGAGTTTGGCTGTGTAGTTGCCATTGGTGTGAGACAAAGACTTGCCAGCGAAGTAAGGATTGGTCAGGTTGTCGCCACAACTTGAACCATCGGTTCAAAGGGGCCACTGCAAACCTGCGAAATTGAGATTTGGTCAACCATCGGCCGTCGCTCATGTTTTCCCGATAGATGGATTCGTTCAGAACGACATCGGCCGGGGCTGCGACATGATCCGAGGGTGTGCGTTGAGTTGTTGACAACAGCACAGGAAGGGTTTCTCTGGGTCCCACTGTCGTAGCCATGCGTGGTGATTGAACAAGGTTTGACCAAGCGTAGGGGCCTTTTTCTCGGTAATGGTGTATCGTGGTAGGTGGTAAGGCGGGAACCATTCTCGGTGATGAAGTATGTAGCTGTCCAACCAATGTTGAGCTTGTCGTAAAAAGTCATGAGCCAATTGAGGAAGAGGAAGTAATCGGTGACGAGGCGGGATATCTCCTCCTTTGTAGCGAAGGGCTAGAAGCTTGTAGGGCACGTGTTTGATGTGGCTCATCCACGAAGACAAGGAAGCGAACGAGTAAGTAAAGGTAGGCGATCGGAGTGCTATTCCGACGTAGAACTCGTTGTGAGAAGAACTTGAGAATGCCATTGCTGCCGACATATTGTATGATTGTGGCCAGGGTCTCCCGTTGCTCGATGAGGGAGCGAGTGCCAAGGA